AATCTGTTCCTTAAGCAATAGAGGAGGAGCACACATACACTGAGTTGTAAGTTGCTTGCAATTGCCTGATCACACTCTATTGTGCATCCCTTGACTTTCCAGTTGTTTGATTTCCACCAGTATAAATATTATTCTGCCCAAACACTTTCAAATTTTAGAACTGAACGGCCTCGGTGTTGCGAAGTTCACTGTGTGTGCGTCTAAACAGAAGGACCCTTTTGAGCTTGGTGGGCCTGATGTTGTCTCATCAGTCTTGAAAAGATGGTTCTTTTCAGAGAGAGTCTCAGAGACATTTGTTGTGTAGCCTCTAGCATTGAGTAGCTGACTTTTTTTATTATTCTTAAATTGAAAATGGGGATATAAATGTTGTTACATGAAATGCATTAGTGCAAATGCATCTTTAAAATGTTTGGGTTGGAAGAGTTTGGATACAGTATATTTACCATAGTGAAGTATACATGCAGTGAACTACACAGGGTGCAGATTTTAAGAATAACCGAGAGTATGCTGCATCTCATGCAACACAAATTTATTAGAGCTCTCATGAGCTTCTCATATGTGATACTGCATCTTTTTGATGTTCTGTTTTTCCTGTCTGCATAGGATTAAAAGAATAGTAGTGGGGAAGGAAGAGATGCCTGTTTCAAAGAGTATCAAATATCTGTACACAGAAGAAGTAATTTCTGGTTTTACAGGAAGCATGGCTTCATTTGGTAATGTTTGTAACCAGCAGGAAGAAAATACAACATTTTTTTGAAATACTACTTACAACAGGAAAATGCTATAGTTAAATATTGCTCTCCCTTTCTACGACTTCTGTCAGAGACTGATTTTTCACTGTGCTTGTATGGCTGATAAAACATTGTGTGGGAAGGTGCTGCTTACCTGTTTATTCCAGTTATATTCATTTCCTTATGGAGAGATGGAATGTGAACCTTCTCTGTTTGCAGAGACCAAAGCATTTTTTGGACATGTTTATACTAGAATAAATTTATGTTGAAGTATATGAAACAGCTAGAGTTGCCTTCTTGTTTGCCCTGTTTAAACTCCCACCACATAAGCTTAATCATGCTTTTTGTGGCAAAGACTAAATGATGAAACTTTTAGGAGCGCTCAGAATTCACCTGGTTTTTATTGCAGTGGTTTCAAGATGGTTTTCCATCCTTTTTAATAGAAACAGGAGTTAGAGCAGTGCTAGGCACATGTGAAAACCCTAACTGTAATGTGCATTTTTATTATAGAAAAGATTTATACCTTCTTTCAAATTGCCTTAGGAGACCGGCTTAACACAGAAAGTATTTTATTGCTTAAGAGGTAAACAATTGCAGCAACCAGAACCCAAGAGTGTTTTTAATTTCAATTAAAAAAGACGCCAAAGGTCAATTAGTGCTTTGAAAGGTTGGTGCAGAAATCAGCGCAGGGCACTGCAAGTCCACGCATATTTTGCAGCAAAACTTCTGTTCTAGTTGTTCCGTATTTTGCATGTGAGGGCCACTGCATGGCATCTGTGTTAAATATCATCAAAACGGAATGACCCTTAACCTATGCGGGAAGGGGAGGGATGCGCTATGATTACTTTTACCCCCACCCTGCATAACCCAATGGGGCACGTGGCCTCCCGACAGCGCCGGCGACGCAGTGATATTTCACGGTGGCACGAGTAAGTTGCCAAGCAGCAGCTGCTTTTGCCAAGCACCTTGTTTGGAGCCGTGACTGCTCGGCACGTCTATTTGTGGCGTGGGGCGAAATGCTCAGCGGGGCTGGCCAGCCACCAAGCCTTCTCTGTAAAAGTCCCCATCTACCTCTGGCAGCCACCAGCTCCGGCAGCCGGATTTTAAAGCTCTCCAGAGAAGGCAGCGTGCGAGCAGGGCTGCAGTCGTCGGTCGGCGATGATGATAAAGCAGCGTGGCTATTTTTGCTGTGGTTTTCCGAAGCCCTTCTCCGTAGCCACAGTGGGACGCTTCCCCTCCCCTCTTCTGCCGTTTCCTTTAGCACCTTCCTCACCATCAGCTCTGACTTCTGATAAGATCCTCAGTGTACCAGGAGGAGCCTGTCTGTCTCCTTCCTCCCTAGGTACCTTTTCCAGTTAAATACTTAACTTCTCCCTTTTCTCTTCTCCTTATCGCTGCTTACTTAACAGCAGGCTGGTACGTTTTGTCCCAGATGCCAGGGAATGCCCTTGGGAAGCTGCTGCTGCTGCTGCATATCAACAACCCCCTCCACGCTTCTCGCTCCCCATGGATGGCTTCACCTCAGAGTAACCTAGAATTTCCTAATGAAAATGCCGTGTATTTTTAACAGGGTATTTCAGATATTGGCAGCATGCCTCCAGCAAAATGACAGAAGAGAGAAAGATGGCCAGCTGCTCTGGATTTGTGGATTACCAAACCTTCACAGTAGAAACTATGTTTTCCTGCAGTAGCAGAAAGGCCCTTTTTAAACTCCTGGCAGGCTCCCTTCTTGCTTAATGGAAAACAAATTGGGAGTATTTCCACCACCAGCAATGGCAATAGGCCTTGAGAACCAGGCAGCTTCTACTTACTGCACATACAGAGTCCTGTTACCTTGTAGGACTGCTTCTTGAAAAAAGCTAGGAAGATTAAAACAGGCTTTTTGGATGGATATCTTATTGCACTGACTTTCTGTACTCCTTGCTTTGCTACAGCCATGCAGAAGACTGTACAGTAGCAGGCTGAAGAAGCAAGCAAATGTTTTCCTGTTGACCACAGAAGACACAAGGCAGCAGAAGTGGCTTCCAGCCACCTTGGTAGCCTGTGGATTTTGGGTTACTGCAAGGACCGAGGTAGTCCACCGGGAAAAGGAAACTCTTCAGGGCTCTCCGATTTGCAGCAGCAGCCTCCCAGGAGAATTGCCTGCCCTCTGGCACAAAAGACAAGAAAAAAAATGAGGAGATGGTCAGTGATAAGGGGAAGAGACAGACTGACTTGCTGTTTCTTATCTTAGTGGGTTGGTGCACCTGCACTAATCCTGGATGAATCAGCATGATTAGTCCATTGCAATCAGTCTCCCTGGAGATTTTTCATACCCACAGAAGCTCAGCATTGACCTGTGCAGGACATGTTGGGAAGCAGGATGGAGAAGAAGAGCCAGCAGCACTACGCCTGCATCTCCGTTGGCAGACGGCGCTCGTTTTCATCATCGGTGCTCCAGCAGACACAGAAACCTTTTCTTCCAGCTCCGTTTCCTGCAAATGGTGCTCTGGCAAGATCATCATGGCTTAGGGCTACAACCTGAGCATTGCTTGATCTGGAGCTTGCTCCATGACAGATAAAAATAGGGCTTGAGCTCCAGCCAAGCCGTGTCAGTGGTGAGGGTGCAGCCTCCTTAGCCTGTTAGAGCTTGTGAGTCCCGGTACCTCTGGTGCAAGATGGATAATCACACCTACGGATGGGTAAATAAGCAGGGTCATGCTGCCTGGGTCCCACCTACCATGATGTCCTGTGGCACAGGAGAATGGCTTGCCCAGGGGTTGATTCCTACCGAGGGGAGGTGAAGGAAAGACGCCTGACCAAACCCATCCCACAAATTTGGCAGCAGCAGAAGCCTAGTGCTGGGTTGGCCAGGCTGCTGGAAGACGGCTGTGTGCGAGCCCGGGCCTGCGTGGAGAGCGGTGTGTGTGCTGCTGTACGCTTACGAGTGAACTATCCCAACTAGCGGTGAGAGATACGGCCCCAAACCGCCATAAACCAGACCCTCTGCAGTAGGTCCGGGGAAGGTGAAGGTGTATTAGGAAGCAGTAGCCTTGACTGGACCTTCTGCCATATGCTTTGTCATCTTCTAGTCCTAATTTCTCTACTTATTGCCTCTGTTCATCTCCTTCCTGCCCTCCTCTGCTTTCTCGTGCCCCCTTGCAGACCAGCAGATTCTTCAAATACCAAGGTGCTGTGTGTCACGAGCACAAAGTGCATGTGGTTCGGCAGTTCAGTGGATTGCTAACGAGGCTGAGTCAGTTCAACGCGAGAGAGTTTCTCGGGACAGCTTCCCAAAAGCCTGCTTTGTCTGCAGTTGCTGGAAGCTGAGTATCCCTCGTCTGCCGCAAGCGCTGTGCTTCGAGCAGGGAGAGCTTGCAGGAGGGTAATTATTAGCTGCTGATCTGCAGCTAATTGACCCAGCCTTCCCTAGTAAGTGGTGCACAACAGTTTTTTTTAAATAGAATACAACCATGAAATGCTTGCAACATTAGGAGGGCATTCTGTGGTGAAGGAGTGATTAATTTTTCATTCTTTCTTCCCGGTCTTGCTCTCTCAGTTCCCTAATATCCACACTAAATTACTTCAGTAAGTGTTCTTACGTTAGATAATTGTTCTAAATGCAGCACATCACTGGAAATCAAGCTTCTTTTTTCCTTCTTCATATATTCCCCGTTATAGCATACCTGGCAGTTTGGTTAATGGCCTGTGAAGCACAATAGAAACCAAACTATCCATCTGTACCTACCCCTTCTCTGAAGTACTGACAAGAAGAAAGATGCCTGTAGATAAATTCAGCACACATGGCTTCTAAGACACAAGTTGAACCTTAAAGGCCATTTTTACAATGTAATTAATATACCGTAGCATTAAAGCAATGTTTACCTAATGACAGAAGTCTTCTCTTCGTGCTTTCCACTGCTGGTTTGCGCACGATAAAATATTGTTGGAATCTGCCTCCACCCCGCCTCAGCAGAAAGTAGCTGCGGAGAAGTTTGGTGGTGAATATTTGCAAACATATTTGCTCACGTAGGTTACTCACACCACCGCTCTCCTGGGCGGCTTCTATCAGCAGCCGGCCGGCAGCGAAGCCGCTTTCCAGCATCCGAGTTTGCATGAGGGCCTGGCAGGGGAATGCGCTCCTCCGCTCGCAGCCAGCGTCAGTAAATCACAGCGTGACGGGCTCACCGCCCCGCTGCTGAACTTTTAACTTGAAGCTCTAGCAGGGTGCTGAGTCGCTCCGGCTACATGACACAGAGCTGTGAAAGTAAATCGCTTTGCTGGGAGCAAGGGGAAGTCCAGCATATTGTTTTGCAGACTTTGCCTACAGTTTCTCTGCGGTATAAGCGTAGAATATATACACCCGGGAAGGCAATTAGAGAGTGATGGACTTCCAGCGTAGAGCTCACCCTTACCCCATCCCGGAGGATGAAGAGGTCGCACACAATGTCGCTCCTGATGCTCACAACTCTGCAGGAAACGAAGGCGAGAAACCGGTGTCAAAATTGCAACGTAGGCACAGTGACATAAAACTCTACAAAGAGTTTTGTGACTTTTATGCAAGATTGTAAGTTCATTCTCTTCAGCTTTGGGGTGTAACTACAGTGACATTATTACTGTATTGCACATATATATTTTATTATCTGAGCTCCGGGCAGGCCGTGCAAGCCCTTCTCTAATGTAACCTTTGCCACTGTTCTGCTTGATACATTGCCAGTTGTAATCGTCAACTAAAATTTGAGCTGTTGCTTTAAACTTCATCATTAATTGCATCAGAAATTTTTATCGGCAGTTGAAACGGGGTTGGAATTTGTCAAGTAGTCTTTCTGACTTTAGGTTGTTTGCATATTGTTTTGGGCAAACAGATAAACTGCTTCCCTAATGCAGAACGATTACATACATCGCTGTTGTTACATATATGATGTGTTTCAAAGTGAAGTACTTTTGCATACTGAGGAGGAAAGCTTTATGTTTTCATTTGGTTTTGAACTTTGTTTCTTGTTTTTGCTTGGATTGTACTTTATGTCTGGCAGCACTTAAGATCCTTAGTGCTCGAGAACTGTTGAGGTGATGATGAAAGATACCAGTTTCTGTTGTGATTATTCTTCATTTAGATTGATAAGGAGAACGGGTGAAATGACTGAGGTTTTCCCCGACAGAAAGCATACACAATCCATGGAGACTGCTGGCGAGCTTTATACTTAATCACGGTTTATACGTATAATCACTGTAGTTTGTCTGTAGGCTTGTCTGTTATGTATGGGATAGACCATCCTCCATCTGATCTCCTTGTGAAATTTGCCCACTTGTTTCACTGAGACGGCAGTGAATATTTGGATAGCAGTTACTGTTTTCCGCAAAGATCTCTAGAGGGAGGGGGGAAAAAAACCAACCCAGCTAATAATGACTGGTCAGATGTGACCTTGCGTAGGGCTTTTCTGTGAGACAGCATAAGAAATAGATATAAAGCACATTCCTTTTTGAACCATGTGCCAGGTGTTTGCTTGCTCCCTTGGGTGCTGTGCAAGGAATGAATTTAATTCCTATTGAACCCGGTGGGAGCCAAGAAATCTTAGTCCCTTGGGGGGGGAAAGGCTTGGCATCTTACAGAGGACTGAGGGCTCTGCACTTACAGGCGCAGCATGATAGCTGTATCAAAATGTGTGCGTGTGTGCACATGTGTTTGAAATAATGTCAGTTGTTTAATCATCTTCCAGGTAGATGTTTGAGTCAGTGGTTTTGTCAGCTCTGGTCAGATTGTAATGAAACCAGACCACTGCCCTGTATCTGCTCTCAAATGGTAATAGGGCAGAGAGGTGATCCTGAAAGGCATAGCTTTGAGAGTCTAGATACGAGTAAGAAAATGTTTGCAAAGGAAAAATCAAGTGAGCCTTTTTCTGGCCTTAATTAACTGAAACACAGCTGTACTGTCTTCTGCATATGGGGACACAATCCTAATGAAGTAGCTAATTCCTCTGATATTTTGCAGCTAATCACGCTGTCATTTTATGGTCACGTGCCTTTGAGAAGCAACCAGGGCCGCTATTTGAGTAATTTTTTGCATCCCCGGCATGGGTTTGCCAGCTTGTGCTGGCCTGCGTGTGGGTTGCAGTGGGGCAGCCAGAGCATTTCCACTCTACCCCTTGGCCCTGGACCAACACCAGCACGCCGTGAGCTGAGCTCCCCGACATGAACCCTAACAAACCAACAAAAAATCCCATGACTTCAAACTAAATTTGTAAAATTACTTCAATCTATGCAAAGCTTATATAAGGAATAATTGTTTACTCGCTCTGGTTTTCAGTAATATCTGCCAGACTAGATACCACACACTCTTTCACATTGCTTATTTAGAGCTTTTCAACCAATGCTGCTATATATATTTTAGAATTAGGAATTGCCAGTCCTCGATGATTGTTAATATTTGCCCTTGTTTTCTCTAATTCTAATGTATTTTGTCATTTTTATAGTACTTCTTTGAATTGCCTGCCTTTTCTTACCATAAAAAGCCTGTAAATGTATCTGTAGTAATGATGTTTCTGTTTGGTTATTTGAATTAGTAGTTATTACAGTGCGTTGTGGGGGTTTTGTTTCTACAGAGTTTGGGAGCAGGGGGGAAATGGCAGTTTTATTTCTGAGGGGGTGCCACAAGTCATTAAGTCCATTGAAAAATTTGTGTTGAGCAGCCTAGCGTTAGGCTGATGCAGTTGGCTTTGGGGGAAAAAAAAGAGACCCACAACCAGTGGTGTTGCCTATTTGGGCTAATTTTCTTTCTGTTTCTTTTTTGTTTGTTTTTTTTTTTTTTTTAATGACAGCAACATGGCGAACGCACTTGCAAATGCCATCTGTGAGCGCTGCAGGGGCGGTTTTGCTCCTGCTGAGAAAATTGTCAACAGCAACGGTGAGCTGTACCACGAGCAGTGCTTCGTCTGCGCCCAGTGCTTTCAGCAGTTTCCCGAAGGGCTCTTCTACGAGGTAAGCAGGGCAGGGTGCTCCTCTCGCCCCCAGCTTTTGCCTTCATTCCCATACCAGAAGTAGCTACAGGCAGATCGATAGCTTAAAAAGTCCCGTGGCAAGAACTGGGCTCTGAAAGGATATGCCCAGTAGAGGGAGAAAAAAGCAGAAACATTTCTGTGCTAATTTGGAGGACATCAGTGTATATAACTTTATTTAAATGTGTAGCCTAATGTTATCAGAGCTGAGAAAAAAACTGCTGGACATTTCTTTCTTGGTGCAGATTTTTTTCCCCTGAAATCTGTGAATCTGATATATCATACCAGAAATAGAGAGAAAGCATAATTCTTAGAAGCAAACAGTCATATAGAGGGAAACCCCAGCATCCTGTGGTCCATAGGAGGTTTATCGCTGAGTTGAGTGAGGCCAGCGCGGCATGTGAAAAGTTCCTCGTGGTGATGACCTGTAAGTCAGCATGCTGAGATCAGGGCGTGCAGAGAGCCCAGACCAGACAGGGCCTACGTAGGTAGGGTCAACTCTAGGTTTAACAAACTGGAGCATTCAGAGTTAGCAGTTCTTACATGCTTTCAAGGGTTAAAACCTGCTCTCAGTCATATTTCTCAGACCCGGGTAGATTGCCCTCACCTCAGGTGGGTATTTTGATATCTGTGTCATTTTATTTTGTCTTCCGCTATCGTGGGGTTTCAGGCTGTGGCTCAGCTATCTCGAGCATAAAGTGGTTTTAGTGAAAGCTTTAGACTACTTCATAAAATATGAAGTGATCGGTGTAAGGAAGGGTAGATGATGAGAGACAGGGAATTACTGTCTGAGAGATAAGGTCCTGCTGAAGTAGCTTGTAGTCCAACTTACAGTAGCGGTTACAGGATTTATGTCATCCTGTGATCTGAAAAGGAAGGTGAGCAGCGTGTTAAAAGCACGATGCTGTGCTCTCACGTACAGTGTGCCATCCTTGTGGCAAGAGCAAAACAGTTTATCTTCCACAATAGTATTTCTAATTTTACAGAGCCACGTTACGTGGTGATGAGGAGAAGCTGAGGAAGGCATGTAGATTGGAAAAGAGACTGGCAAAGGGGATTCCTGGCGTTTGCTTTCTCTCCCCTTGTTTGAGGATCAAAAGACTTTTCAGTGCTGTAGGGATAGTGTGGCACAAATTGCGGTAAATGCACCACTTGTGTTCCATAAGACATCAAAAGGTGAGCTGCAAGGCAGTAGCAATTAAATAAAAACAAAACAAAACACCCCCTAGATACTTACACGTTGCATTACAATTGTTAATATATACTGAGCTGCTGCCTGCCTGCAGGCATGGTAAGGAGTCCATCCTGACATGTTAAGACCTGAGGCAAACGTAAAGTGATATAAATGTTTTAAAACTAAAATATTTGTAATTGTGTTAATGAAATTGTCTTAAAACAATAAAATGTATTTTCTCTAAATAATGAGTACTTTATTAATCCTTTTTCTGACTCAAAAAACAGTGAGACATTCCAGGGACCTCCTTTAGAAAGTTGAATGGTACTTTCTTAAAAATAAAAGTTTGAGAAATCCTGCTGTAGGCAGCCTGTATCTGCTACGGGGATGGACAAGGACCACAGTGGAAAGAAAGTCTTACTTTTGCACCTGGTCCAGGAATATTGCAACCTCTCTGTTGCTCACGGGTGGCCATACCTGAATCTCCTTGGCAGGGGCAAGTATCCTGGTGGTGTTTAGATATATTCGATGTAAGCATTTTGCTTCCTACTGCTACCTTGTTAACATTCGTATTCATTATGGCTGGTCTTTGAGCACTCTCTTACTGCAAAGTGAGGCTCCCTGTTAAAGACAGTAAGTCAGAAGTGAGTGTCGATAGATTTTCCTGGGAATGAAAATAGCCCCGTGTACTAAATACGTTTTGGTTAACGTTGCTAGGGTTTTTTTCAGGCTGGGTAGAGACTTTGTTCTTGAGAAATGTTACATAGGAACTGGAAAGTTTCAGTTAAGAATAGACCCTTTTTGCCACAGCTATTAAAGAGATAAAATAATTGTGATGAGGATTAAATGAATACGTAAAGACTTGCGTGTGGCTTGAACTTCACATCACCCTTCTGCCTCTAGCCCTTCTCGTGTCCTCCACAAGATCTTGCAGTTTCTCTGTGCACCAGCAAGTTTGCTGCCGTTGAAGAGAGGGACTTTTGGGTCTGTTTAAGCCCTCTGACAGCCTTCAGATGATGGCTCACAGATCTTACCCAGCCTTCCTGTACTGGCCTGGGCATCTTCTAGAGAGTAGAGAGGCCAGTGGATATCTGTGCTGTCCCAGTCCTCGTGCCTTTGGGGCTGTTTCAGCTGGGAAATCTTCGGCAGGGCCTTCTCCTCTGTCTCTGCACCCTTTAGGGTGTCCATGCAGGTCCCATGCTGCCAGAAGGACTCTCACTTAGCACTGAAGTGGCCACTGAGATGATTGCAGTGGAAACCCCACCATGTTTCCCGGTGGTGCTGCTCAGGAGAAGGGTGGACAAGGGTACAGCTTGCTCTTCTTTCATTCGGTCCCTCAGTATTAGAGGTGAGAACGTACTGGGTGACAGTGTTTGGGGGAGAGAGCCCTAACGAGGCAGGTGGAGGGTGAGCTTAGGTTGGCCAACACTCAGGATTTGGCTGACAGTGCCCTGAGGACTCTCTATCGCTGTCGAGAAAAAGTGACTGGAGAAGATAGGCAGAAAGGGTGTCTTCCTGTGACTGGCTTAATGCACTCTTTGAGAAGATGGATGTGTTTGGAGGTGTCACCAGGTAACGTGTTTTTCTGAGCAGGTTCCCCGTGGGTAAACACAGGTGTGAGTTTGTGTTTATTCTGTGCCTGGTTTAGCTAAGCTAGTGTTTCCTGGGAATTATTTCCAGCTCTTAGCAATCGGGAAGTCAAATATTCTTCCCCTGCCTATCGCAAGCCTTGCAGCGTTCCCCCAGTTAGTCATTAAACCGCTTATCACATCAGCTGTCAAACACTGCTGTCATAAGCTTTCACGCTGCTTTCCATGGGTGGGAGCTGAACTGGTCAGGCCGATGCCGGTCTCCTGCGCCATGGCACGTGTCCCCGGGCTCCTTGCAGGGACCCCGATCGGCACAGCTCGCCGTGGGCTGGCACCGGAGCCAAGCTGCTTGCAGGCATGAGCGGTGCCCATCCGCAGCTTGGAGTTTGCACAGCGTAGCAGGAATTTTGTTGATGTCCTCCCGAGCCTATGTTAGAAATGACGATATGGATTCGTAACCAGCCAGTGTTGGCCTTGTTGCATAAGGGTGTAGGCGAGAGCTGTGTGCCTAATGTTGCAGGGGAACTGTGGGTTTAGGACCTGCTAGGGTATATTTGTGTTTCGGTGTGCTCAGCATCATCAGTTTAGCATGTTTTCTTACGCACTCAGCCTGAACAGAACTTAGCATAAGCACATGCCAGCAGAGTTTCCAAATGGGGAGATCGAAGGGCTTAGAGAGCTGCATCCCACCACAGAAGAAATACAGCAAAATCCTTATGGACTACTCACAACAGCTATAATTGGGGAATCTGTATCAATATTATTAATTTTTTTTTAATAAAATAAAATGGAATGGCACGTGACTTTTGTCTCCTAAATGAGAGGGAGTTCCTTTCAGTTGGGGGTTTTTCTAATATGTTTGTGATAACCTATAAGAAGATTAAAGGAAGGTGCAGCTGCAATGCACTTGTCAGATTTGTTTCTATTCCAGTTGCGCCTCGAGTGTTTTCTTAAAACAGGCTTTGCCAGAAACTACCTTAGAGAAAGGGTCTTTAAAGACTCGGGTTTTGTGCATGTCTTTCCACTTAGTTAGCTAAAAACATGGAGATCAGCTGGAGATTATGTCACGGTGAATTGTTCTTAGCAGAGCCATTTAACTCGTGGACCTCCAGCATACAACAGTCAAATGACCTTGCTTTTAAAATATGTGCTGTGGGATTTGTTATAGAAGTTCAAGGCTTTCTCTGATGGATGAACTGCTGGGTCATCCAGAAAAGGCAGCACAAATGAGCCGAGAAGATTGAAAATATAAACAAGACTGAATGGTAACCAACCTGCCTGACGCAAACCAGAGGGGAAAAAAACCTGTTTGGTCTGCCCGGATCAACATGCAGTGGCTCTGAAGTCCAAGCAAACCTAAGCATCTCCCACTGGACCACCTGTTTACACAAAACAGGAAGCTTTGGGATTTTTTTCATTTTAAAAAGGATTTTATCCAGCAGGAAGCAAGCATAATTCACAATGAACCAATAATTTCCATTACTCTTTGAGAAAGTAATAGCTCTCTGTCTCTCAATTTTTATCTGGTATTTGATCCTTGGAATTTCATAGTATGAAATAGGTAATCTTGAAGCACTTTGCTGTATTTTCTGTCTGTGCACCAAAACTTAATTTGTGGGTAGTATTTTATGCTATTTGCTTTGTTTTGTCTTAGACCCACTAAAAAGAAAGGAGTGGGGTTTCCTGCTATCCCCCTTTTTTCCACTGTTTTAAACCAAGACATTCAAATCCAAACACTTTATAGCATACCTCATATTGTCTATCTGGTTTTGACATGCTACTTGGCATTTGTGTCTATTAATGATGTGCCTGAAGGTATCTAAACATTTCCCTTCATTTCAGGACATACTCGCCTACATGTTTTTACATATTCTTTGGCTAAGTTGCTAATGCAGTGCTGTATAACTTTTTTTTTCCATATGTTTTTTTTCTATGCAAGCTTGAACTGCAGCTGAACTTCTCCAAGCTGTGAGAAAATTCAGATCCAAATCCAAATCCCTTAAGATTGGTTCCCTATTTCATCTGTCAATGTAGTGAACTTTGTTCCTTAAAATTTGGACTTGATGATCTTAAGGGTCTTTTCCAACTTAAATCATTCTATGATGCTATGAAATAAGCATCATGAAGGAAAAGCCTTATTTCTCTTCATGTTTTGGCTGTACGGCTCCATAACTTGCAAAGATTTCTGTCCCTGGGTGTTTTCCCTCCCCCTGTACTTACTTCCTCCGGTATGCTGGGTCGTTCTTGTAGGAAATGTAGAGTGGGGAAGAGATCAAATGGGTTCAGGGAAAATGTTCCCCCCCGGAAAGGTTTTTGTTAGCTAATTTCCTGCCCAGAATTCACTGAGTTGCATCAGAGTTTCAGCAGTCTTGTCAAAATTCAGATGTTTCTTGTGATGTAAATGGGTGATGGAAAATGCCTTACACTCTCAGCAGTATTAGAGGAATAGTGAGCTACTAACGCTACATGCTAACTAGTACCTGAAGTAAGGTGGGTGGATTTAATGCCTAGCACATGGTCTGGTTTTTTTGTGCAGCCCTCATGTTTTACTACCTAACTGCATCTGGAAACACACTGGTGTGTTACAGCATTTATGTTAAGGGCATACTCCTCATCCCTCTAACGCTCTGATTTTTTTCCATTTGCAGTTTGAAGGGAGGAAGTACTGCGAACATGATTTTCAAATGCTTTTTGCCCCTTGCTGCCATCAATGTGGTAAGTTTTACATCGAGGTGAAACACTTCACACTGATCACAAATGGGAACAGGAACATCACTGGGGGAAGATGTGCAACCCTTGTGTATGTTCTCTGGGAGATGGCCCTGTGCAGCTGAGCATCTGAACTTCCAGAATGAACTAGACTTCAGAGAATTCAGGGAGCTGCTTTTCCTAAAGGTCATCAAACAATAGGATTTTAAAAAAAAAAAGTTTGCATTATTTGAGTGAGTAGTTTAGCTGTTGTTCCAGTGATCCACTGAATAGACCGTTCATGAACTCCTGATTATATATATCTATGCATCGGCATGTGCTCATATTTGGCCCTTCTCATGCAGCTGAAACCCTGCAACAAGTCTTTATCATCTGCTTTGACTGTTGTAACCCCCCTGTGCTGTCCTACTCCACAGAAGCAGGGACAGTCTTTGTCATCTAGTGTTATAATCAAATGATGCTCAGCTGGTCCCCTGTTGCATTTTTGAAACAAATACCTTTAAGGCTTCAGCATCTCATGTCCACCCTACATAACACTGAGGGCTGCTTTTTATTTGCTACTGTTGATGTAAATGCTTGTGTGTATGCTGTGCAGTAATCGTTTGCACGTGTTTTTTCTTCCCTGTGTGTGACACATCGTGCTCAGGCAGGGCTGGGAAGTCATTAATTTTTTTACTATTGCTTAAACTGGTCTGGAAGTTCTTGGTTTCTGTGGCTCCTTGGCAAGGCGCTAGGGCTTTCACTTATCTCAGTGAGGCCTTTCCCCATGTGGAGGAAGGAACTGAACACTGAGGAAGAGGGAAGCAGATGTTATAGACCTTTGAATTCAACGCTGCAGATGTGAACGAGCAGGGGAAGAGGAAGAAATGGGTCAGTGGTGATTTCTGAGGAGCTATGCTGCCTGTCTCCAGGATTTCTCCTGCCCACCTGGCACAGCTTCCACTTCTCCTGCTCTGGCTCCTTGTAGCACCAGCTCCCATAAAACCTCATCATGGTCCTGCACAGGGCTGGGCTTTGCCACTGCTTGGATTTAGTAAGCGCAGCCGAAATTGACAGGGCTGTTGTCAGCGATGACGCCTCGAGCATTCCTGACGTTACTGGAGTCCCATCGGGTTTTGTCCTTGAAAAGCCATGACTTCATGGGAATGCCATGGAGTCTCATGCTGGATGTTATTGCCCACATTGGTTACCTGCCCGATTGCTCCCCTTTGGCAGCCGTTTGAGCTGTATGTTCTCCAAAGCCAGGACTCAGCCTCCCACAACACTGGGAAGCTGAGCTCCCAACACATTTTAGGCAGAGCCTTTGCACAGCTCGGGGGCCTTGGCTACAACGTCCGCATAGAGAATGAGTAAATCACGTGTGTGGTGGACGTGGCTCCGCTGCCTGTGCAGTACAGTCACACCATGCATGCAGAACGGTAGTTCTCATGCTATTTTTTTTAATGCCTTGCAGGACCTGACTCCTTGTGGTAGGTCAGAAGTTGTCTGTGTTGGATTGACTGTTCTGCAGCATCCCTGCGCCTTTGCATTTTGACTCCATGGGAGGTTTTTTGCAGGAGGTCCACAGCCACCCAAGCTCAGTGCTGTTGTGCTTTGAGTATAGAGCCCCTTCAAGGCTTGGTCCTAGTGGAGTACAAACCACTACTATGTACCTGACAAGTTAAAATTGTTGTCTTCTTAAAGAAAAGGAGAAAGATGATGAGGACACAAGAAAGCCGTATTATATGAAGAACTCCATATATTTCTTAACAGCTTGAGAACAGATAAGTAAAAACAGGGAAGGGACTGGAAAAGGATGATTCCAGACAGAAGGTGGAGTTTGCATGTAGAAGGGCTTGTATGTGAAGAACAGAAGGTCCTCCATCAGCAAGGACGCTTTCTTCCAGCCCACAGCAAAAAAAACGAAACAAACCCAAATTCCAGAGTTTAGAACCAGAACTGTGACACCAAAAGCAATATGTCCTACCAGATTTAGCGGGGGGAGGAAGAGGAGGATGATGTCATTGTAGTGATGCTGTTGTGGGTTGCTTTTAACTTTGTCTAGCGTGGGTATTTTACAACCTGGTATTGTGTTTCTTACAGGTGAGTTCATTATTGGTCGTGTTATTAAAGCTATGAACAACAGCTGGCATCCAGAGTGCTTCTGCTGTGATATCTGCCAACAAGTGTTAGCTGATATTGGATTTGTCAAGAATGCTGGCAGGTAGATCTTCACCCTTCCTTCTGTTAACTGATCATGAATAAAATGAACTAAGAGTGGGGACTGAGAGCTTTTGGTTCCTGAAGCTTTCCAGTTGAGGTGGAGCAACTGAAGTGTCTTTTGTGGGGAAAAGGTCTAAGAGTGCATCACAAAACTAAGAATGGGTATCTTAAAATACACACTTAAAATATTTACTTCAGCACCAGGTTTCTTGGCAAACATGTTCTCTACCCGGTGACATTTCGGGGCCATTGTTATACATAATAAGAGAGAAAACATTCAGATACAGAAGCATTGTCTTTATTTTTTTCATAGAAATTTTTACTTTCTTTTTCCAACTTGGGTTTCCACTTTTGGTCTAATTTAGCACCTTATTTATTAATAATTGCTTTAAGTTCAGTGGGATCCTTCACAGAGTAGGATATTTTTACCAGCTGTGATCAGAAGCATGTTTTACAAGTGAATTCTACGGCCATTGTCTTCATATGTACAATATGATATACAGAGTTACCTACAGAATTAGGACCTGTGTGCTCATCCAGCTTCCAGTCTAAATTTTTAAGATTTTGAGAGTAAAACATTCAGCAATGAGAATCTATAGCAAACTTTGTTTTCTGTGTTTCAACACAGCTTAAACTCAAATGAGCTGAAGAAATTCTACTCCTATGGTGACAGAAAATAAAATCATCACCCTGCCTTTTCTGAGCTTGGTTTGCCTAGCAAGGAAATTGTTTTAAAGGTTGTTTTCCCTCCAAAAAGGGCTGACTGAAATGAGGTTCTAATAGATTTTTGGTTTATATTTTGCACTGTAGTACCTGGTACCAGTACTTACCTCTTTTTTTTATGCTGTTTCAGACATCTCTGCCGTCCTTGCCATAACAGGGAAAAAGCCAGAGGCCTGGGAAAGTACATTTGCCAGAAGTGTCATGCCATAATTGACGAACAGCCTCTCATATTTAAAAATGATCCTTATCATCCTGATCATTTCAACTGTGCAAACTGCGGGTAACTTGAGTTCTGCAAAGGAAAACATGAAAATGCTGGGTTTATTTGCTTCATCGATTTACATCTTAAAGTGAAAACCTGTCCTGTACAACTGGCAAGAGGGGTGGGGTCTGGGTGCCTTGCAGCCAGATGTGTGTTACTGCTTTTGGGATGGTGGAGTTGGACCTTGAGTTCAAACAACAGCTGACCTGTCGGGGAGTAAAGAAAGATTGGACTCTGCAGGACAAGGTGGTACCTTACAAAATATGAAGCATGGACACAGATAACAGTTCTTGTAGCAGCAAAATGATAGCTTGTTATTCTGCTACGAGTGGAAGAAAAAAGGAAGCTACCATTTCAGTGCCAACGCAAAGGTTGATTTGAATAACAACATTTAGTGTTGTGTCAGTGGCAACCGGTTGAGAGCATTCGTGAGTGCAGTCACATTTAAAGTGTAGCTGTTCTCAGTATCATAACCATTCAAATTACTAAAAGGTAGAGTATATGAGATTCTGCAGTTGGCAATCAATAAACATAGCCAGCTCATGTGGGTCCGTAGTTTTCTTTCTCTGATACAACAAGGAAAACATACCTAGATGTAGAGGACTACATTATACTTTCAGTTACAGTTATGCAAATCTAAAATAAACTGGTGATAAGAGTGCCAGAATATAAACCAACCGTGTACAGCTCGCACACACGTGCGCTCGTGCTACATCACCAGAGTGCAGGATGACAATAGCTCAGTAGCTGTTTTCAGAGAGAGTTAGTGCATCTCCCTTAGCAGCCTGTTCTCACTTTACTGTGATCAGTCTTGAGCTATGTCACATCTGATGCTGCTGCATTACTGTAGTACAAATACAACTTCTAAAACACATGCTAAAAATTGTTTTTTTCTTTTCAGAAACTCTCAAGAGTTGACATTGGTCAGTGCCTTTATTCATGCTCTCAATTCATTAACTTTTGAACAGGAAGGAGCTTACTGCTGATGCTCGTGAGTTGAAGGGAGAATTATACTGCTTACCCTGCCATGACAAAATGGGTGTCCCCATCTGTGGGGCATGTAGAAGACCAATTGAAGGCCGTGTGGTGAATGCTATGGGCAAACAATGGCACGTGGAGGTAAACGTCAGATGATATATATTGTCTTTTACAACCGTAAACATTAACATACTTATCTGTGATTTTGCTGATCAGTTTCAATGAAAGGATTAGCAAAGTAGGAAGCAATGATTAGTAAATGCCTTCTCCTAATCCTGTCTTCAGCCTTCTTGTGGCTGGTCTTCCACTGTGAAATAGGAGTTATTTCCCACCTTACAGAGAGCTTTGACTGTGAAACTAAAATCAGTAATCAAAGGAAGCACTGTGAGGTTCTTACAAAAGAAAATTTTAGAGTGCAAAGCAGTACATGTGACAAGGCAGTAAAATTCTGTGGCAACCATAATGTTACTGAGCATCATAACACCCTTATGCCTTCCATAGTCACCTGCCATGTAAATATCGCTAAAGCACTTTACCTGAGAGTTCATATTTCAAGGCCATGTACAAGATTTAGTTCTACATCTTCCATTTAAATTAGAAAGATAAACAGTTTATTCCTTTTGTTGTTTTCAAAATCTCCTCCAGCAAATGCTTTCTTCACAGGAGTGTAATGATGGTGCAAATTATTTAATATCTCTTCATTCTGTTCACTGATAACATATGAGAATCCCTTTGATTTTTGTTTTTTTGTAACTTTTGGATTGAAGTGTTGAAGATACTGAAAGGAACATTGTATTAGTGGTCTAAATGTAGAAACAAAAAAGTTTTAACTCTCCTTTTTGAGATGGCACAGCTAGCTCAGTAGACTTCAGTCATGTTCAGTACTGGGCTTGGTTGGTTTGCTTTCCAGAAAAAATACCATTACTTCCAAATAATCCCGAAAAATGTATGTAATTTTCTTTGTAGCATTTTGTTTGTGCAAAATGTGAAAAGCCGTTCCTTGGTCATCGTCATTATGAGAGAAAAGGCTTGGCGTATTGTGAAACCCACTACAATCAGGTAAGGTTGCATATTTAAAAATGGTGTTAAGTGGTAAACTCATGAATTGGTTTCATTAGCTAGAAATGGAAAACCATGGACATTCTTCTGTTTTCTTATGGGCACCTGTGGGTGTAATGCCAATTAGCAGATGTTCTGTTGAAGTTAATTTATATGGGTTTCTCTATACATGGGTCTGGTAGTGAGAAATAAAACTGCAGGTATTTCACAAAGGCTAGCCAGGACAATCAGTATTGAGTTGTTCTTCAAGCTTAGTGGTACTTAAGTAGAGCTGTTACCGACTTTTACATGTCTGTGAGATCACAGCAACTGACATGCAGTCTTTCCCAAGGAGCTAAAGAAGATTTGCCACTCGGTAGCTGCGGTTAAAGACAAGGCCCTAGTGAGTAGCGTGGTTTTCCCTGCAGCTGCTGCTCTGAGGTGACTGTGTGTTAACATATGCTGTATCACCCAGCTCATTCATTAGTTTGCTGAAGACTTTGAAGACTAAATTTGTCAGAGGACACCACCTAGTGAGCACTTGCATTTATATAGGAGTTCTATACCATGATACCATCTCTCTCCAGACTCCCTTGGTTGTGTAGTCCAGCACCACGATTTATAGACCTTTTTTATTTGGAAGCCATCTGCATTGTGTCACGTCTACCTCTTCGCTTATATAAATACAAGAGTAGGGGTTATGTTTGGGAGTTGTAAGGCATCTGCTAATTACAGATGGATTCTTAATTTGTCAGTGATGAAGGGCAGATGATTGAAATGTTGCTGGCATACTTGTAGACAAGAAGTGCCATGACATTAGTAGTAATAGTGTTGCAGCTGTGATGGGGCAAGTACATACACTAGACGAGCTGTATGTACAGTGAATGTATTTTACTGTGTTAACTACTACAGTTAGAAAAAGATATATGAAACTTTGAGCACTTCTTAGTTGTTATATTGTGGACAAATGTTAAGCCTTTTTTTTTTAAATAAAAATAACATTTCCTTACAGTTTTTGCCAGAAACAGCAATATGTTGTTTTAGTCATGCATGTAAATCCAAATGTTAAATTGGCTGATTAGTAATGATGTGTATGTCACACCAACTGCTGTATTTCAAATGTTCAGGATTAGAGAAATCATGTTTACAGGGGATCAAACAGATGTCAACAAATGTTTTCATCTTTAATATTATAAAGACTTTTTGTGATGAAGTGATGCAAAATGTACTTGGAAAATAAAACCAGACTTGTCAGCATTCTCTTTATTTTACTGAAATAAATAGGAAAGCTGTTGTGCCATCAGCTGAAGTATAGTTTTTTGTTAGTTCGAGAAGTTACCCTCGATAAATTCATTACATTAAAAATTTTTTACTTCTCTTTCCTCTTCAGCTATTTGGTGATGTTTGTTTCCATTGCAACCGTGTGATTGAAGGAGATGGTAAGCACTTTTCTGTTTCCTTAATGTTCCTTTCTGATGGAAGTTCTCCGTAAAAGTGGAAGTAAGGGGAAAGCAGCCCCCTGTTGAATCCTTGATTGTTCTCACTAAAACAAAACCAGCCATGCTCTTGATCAGAAATAAGGTTCGAGCTGATTAATCAGAGACCAAATGGTAAGAAAACCTTAAAGCAAGCGTTTCTTGATGGTAGAAGACCACCCAGTGGCTGAAGAGAATCATGGTCAACTGGAAACCCCTTAGTGACATGCAAAGGCCAGGGATGCTGGGAGATGCACAGAAGTGACTTCCTGCCCCACCACCTTCAAAAAAGAACACGTGCAAGGGTGAGAATGACCACCCAGGCATCTCCTCAAATGAATTTAGGGATCATGAACCAAATTTGAAAAAGTGTTTGGATATTGAAAGACGTGGGTGGGCACTCTTAGGGATTTTGTAAAAGTGCCTAGTTCCCATTATGTCGGTTTGGTTCCTAGATATTTACCTATCTATCACAGGCACCTGTCTTTTGAACATCTAGGCTGATGCTAATGTCACAAAACCAGGGAAGATCATACTTGGAAAGATGCATGCTGTAAAGGCAGAACTGGAAGCACATGGTTTAAGGTTTTTTGGGGTTTTGTTGTTTGGGGGTTGGTTTGGGGTTTTTTGGGGGGAGAGAGTGATGGTTTTGAGGGTTTTTTTGGACAACCAGCTATAATGCCAAAAGCAAATTATTGTACCTGAAATAATGCAACATTATATGCCTATTTACCCCTGCCTGAAGGAAATATTATAATACCAATGTTAGCCTTACCTAAGCCAAAGCCATTAGCAAAGTAGGAGGAAGCCTCTAGCATGTAAAAAGGGCCATAAACTAGTTTATAGTCATGTAACTATAGGATGAGACTTACATTCCAGAGATGTGCTTTCCCCACATTTTCTGGACTGGACTATACCTGCAGAACAACAATCCAAAACGCTTTAGAGGCAACAGTGTCCTCCTTTTCAGTAAAATCCTACTAGAATGAGCAGAACTGGAACTTGAGGTGAATGAATAAATTCAGCCTTGTCTGATAACTACATCTCTGTATGATTCTGACCTTTCATCATACAATCTGACACCCATATTGTATGTTTTGGTCTCTGAACTGAACAGAATATAGTGTAATGCAGTAATTTCTTTATTTTCAGTGTATGTCTTCAATTACATTTCTTCTTTGATTTCTGCACACAAATTTGACACTGCTGTCACAAGTTACGAGTAACCAATATTGTTCTCTCTCTGTCTCTCTGTGTGGTGAAACAAATATCTGTGGCAGCAGTTTTTCAGGAGGGTGTCTATGACTGTATTACAGAGGTTGCTTGGGAGCAAAGACTTTCATCTGACTAGTATTATTTTGGCAAGCAGTGGAATAACTATGCATCTGTGGACGTGCTTGCCCCATAGTGCAGGAAAAAAAGCTCTGCGTGACAATGCTCTGGTTCTGTTTGTTGTTGACAAAATATTGTATTTTATGAGAACACCATTGTCCTGCATCCTCTAACTTAGATTAAGAAGAGAGGCAGATTTTTGGCAGGGAAAACTGGGAAGGTATGTTGAAAGACAGGAAGAACAGAAAAAGGATTGAGATACAGAACAAAGAGAATATAGTTACTTTCTCTCCAAAGCCAAGAATAAAAATACATTCAAGTTTTTCTTGATCAGGTAATTTATCCCATGAGTCCATAAATTTGTTCACCTTGACAGTGCTGTGTCCTGACTGCTGCCTTCACGTTATTTTCTTCGGCTGGGCAAGTGCTACTCTTGATGGCACTGCAGTCTGAACTGGATCTGAGAAATGAAACTAAATGAAAACATAAACACAATTTTGTTGGATTGCTCTTCAGCTGAAAAAGTTTCCTGATTAGTTTGTAAACACGGCCTCGTAGAAGAGTTGCCCGAGGTCAGCATGCTATGAGGTGAGGTGGAAGCAAGAAACAGGAGGCAGAAATAGGTTAAACTGGTCTTGCCTCAGAGACAGCTTTATCAGTGCTTCACAGTCCTGCTACACTACACACACCTCTGCCTTGAACTAGGCAGTCTTGCCATATTATTGTTATGCTCCTTAATACAAGAATCAAATGACTGTTCTTCATGCCTCATGTGTGAGCTTAAAATTTTGGTAATAACTTCTTGGTTTTTTGTAATGCTAATGATTTCTTATTTTTCCCATCGCCCTAGTTGTGTCTGCTCTGAATAAGGCATGGTGTGTGAACTGTTTCGCTTGTTCAACTTGCAACACTAAGTTAACACTCAAGTAAGTTTATCAATAAGTGTGATGCCTTCAAAACATATCAGTGCTTACCTTCAGAGTGTAGATGTTGCTATAGTGTAACTGTTATAGTATGAAAAACATATAAGCAGCATTGAGAAAATATGTGCATCTTTCTTCCTCTTGCTCCACTTACTGATTTACATCTTTCAGCTGTCTGTTCGGGTCTTCCTTCAGTTAGTCTTCTTAACTCTTCTCCTTTTCTGTCCTTTATTTTTTCTGTGTTTAACTCTAAAGGGATAAGTTTGTTGAAATTGATCTAAAACCTGTCTGCAAACACTGTTATGAGAAAATGCCAGATGAATTTAAGCGACGACTTGCCAAACGGGAACGTGAAGCAAAGGATAAAGAGAAGCAGAAAAAGAAAAAGCCAATCTGTTTGTAAACTTTTTTCCCTTCTCACCACCACCTCTGCTCCTTTCTTCTTTGGTCAGTGCTAAGGATGCTTTTATTTTAAGTTTTTGCATGAACTTATGGCATTCAAAACCAAAATATTTTCACACAACTGCAGCTTGAAATATTAACTTGTTATTCCATTATCTTATGTTTAGTCTGTTTAGCTCTACAACTAGGTTTGAAAGGCTTTTTAAATGACACGGTTAATAAATATGGACATTTGGGTAAAAACCGTGTAACTTACTCAACAGGGTACTGTAATTACTGTCTACTGTGTATAACCTTGTAAAAGTAACTTCATATATATGTATAAATTGCAGTTGTAATTTTTTGCCTGTGCACATTTGATGATAGGATACTTTTTAAAATATTTTTTTCCCATTATTCCTGCTGCTAAAACTTTGGGTTTTGCTTTGTTGTTTTAGGAATAAATTTGTTGAGTTTGATATGAAGCCTGTCTGCAAAAAGTGTTATGAGAAGTTTCCTCTAGAGCTGAAGAAAAGACTGAAGAAACTCGCTGAAACTTTGGGAAGGAAGTAAAGACTTCATCTGCTCTCCCCCTCCTTTGTGAAAATCTTACATCTATTACTTGCAGGGGGAGCTGCTTTGAGGCTTCAATCAGACAACAAATGATGATGTACATCTTCTATCAAATCAAAATATCTTAAGATTCTCTGTTCTCTATACACGTATGCTTATTTGTTGATAGACAGACCATACTTCCAAACTAAATTAAATACCAGCTCACCTGAAAGGTTTCTGACCCTGATAATGCAGGTGAACTGATGCAGGTGGCCCATACTGCGCAGTAATCTCTGTGGAATTTTACAGAGAGAGAAAATTTGCTTGTGAATACCTGCCAAAACAAACTGCAAATGTGTCCAACTTCAGGGGCATGCATTGTTATTTATATTAATGAAAATATTAACCTTTATATTAAGCATGCACACAAAACTTGCCTGCCTGGTGGAAAAATTCACGCTTGGATTTCAGGCCAAGTCATCTCATTAAGGAGCCTTGTTTCAGACAGTTTGAAAAGTATCAGATTTCTAAATACAGTCACTGTACAAATGACCTATTTACGATAGATTATGCTTACATGATGAATCTTTGTACATCAGGCTTAGCATGAAATACCTATATAAAATATATATTCCTATTGCAAGAAATGAGCATACTCAGAACTACTTGAATTTTGCTATATTCCACTCAAAATAACTCATTAACTTTTATATATGCTTTTGCATTCTATTTACTTTTTGTGCCTTATTCTGCTGGACCATGCATAACAGTGTTCCATTAAATATATATATAGTTTTATTTTTTATTTCGTATTTTTATGCAGAAACTATATACAAGGTATTTTCAAAAGATAACATACTTTGCCTTAATTATACAGGATGCAAGAAGTATTTTATTTCAAATGTGAACACCTGAGCTTAAAATTTAGCTTCTAGACTTTGTTAATCTTCTGAACAATACTGAAAATGCGTATTTCAGTTAACTGGCAATATTACTTTTACACCTATGAGTGTAAATGTACAAGGGTTGATCCTGCTAGGATCTATTTCTTTAGCCATCTTCAAGAACTGAGCTCACAAATCATCAGAATTCCTTATAACATACATTTAATTGTTTTATACTATTGACTTCTGTCCATGCAAATCTGTTTTATTTTTCCCCTTTTTATAGAAAATACAGTTACTTAGGACTTCTTGATGGTACTACATTACGAAGTACGCAAACATTTTTTTATTCTTTTTATATTAGTGACTTAAACAGATTTTATGTAATTACATCATAGGAAGTAAAACTTTCTTTCCAGTTTATGAAAAATTAGTTGCTTTAAAACATCTGCTTTCAAGTGTCATCAATAAAGGCTTATGTTATTAAACCTTGTATCACCTCTCTTAAATGAGTGCTTGAGAAGGGTGGGAAAGCAACTGGAAAGCAATTGGTTCCCTATGCTTTTACCTGTGACTGTATGTAAATATTTATTATCCGGATTTAAAGGAGACATATGCCTTTCCTAAATGTCCCGCTGTAGTTAGTTCTTAGGTTCATGAAAGAAATGCAGTTTGTTTCATAAAGAACAGCTTGATTCTTCTGGATATTTTCTGCATTGGCACAGTCACTAGTTTTTCCTAAAGAAATTATCTTGTCTGAGTGTAAAACATTCACCTTCCTATCAGTTTTTTCTCTCCGCCTCTCCCTGTAATGAAACGGTCACCACAAACTTCCAGTTTAGTGCTAGGTAGGGTATTTTTTTACTATGTTATCCTACGTAGTTATTGAATGCCGTAACAGTTCAGTAACTGAAGGCAGTCCTGACTGTGCTCCAAGACTAGAAAAGCTTAAAATGTCCCCTGAAAAAGTTTACATAACTAGCATGGTAGCCCTGTTTGGATTTTGGACTGTGCCATGGATTCAGTAGACCATACTCAGCAATGCTTCCTTTAAATCGTAGTTCACTTCTTATTCTAGGTTTTCCACATTACACCGACTGTACATCTTTTCCTTCAGCCTACGTATGCACAGCCTTACTGCTCAAAGAGTCGGGAAGGGTCGCTAACCCTGAGGCTGAACGGCAAGACCTGGCTCACATCCACATTGCTCGGGGTGACATCCATCTCCAACACAGTGGCCTCGTTGGCGCTGCGCAGCCACGGGTCTCCTCTCGGCTCTGTGGTAGCCCTGTGGCTGTAACACAGGCTGGGGTTTTTTTTGTTTGTTTCCACGTTCCTGGTGGTGAACGCTGTGTTACAGTTCATGAAGGCAGCGGTTTGTATTTCATGAACACGAGCGTGTGTATCTCAGACCCCGCGATGTAGCGCTGAGAGCATCTGGGGGTACTGGAGGGTTCAAAGCCTGATGAATCGTGGAAAAAATGTTGGTTGGAAGGGACTGCTAGAGGCCAGCTAGTCCAGCCATCCGCTCAAAGCAGGTCTAACTTCAAAGCTGGATCAGTACTGAAGGTCTTGCTCAGCCAGGCTTGAGTATCTCTGCGGAAGGAGATTTCACAGACCTTTGTGGGCAGTATGTTCCAGTGCTTAATCGCCCTCATGGTGAAATTTTTTTATTATTATTGGAGTCCTATCTCAGGTGGAGGGTTCTCTAAATCCACACTGCTCTCTTGGGAGCTGTCTTTGGAGTGAACTGTCATTGAAATAAAATCCCTGGACACCGTCATGAAGAGGATTAATTAAAAGCAGTTGCAAAACAGAGCCAGGGACCAAGCTAGCAATTAGGCAGCCTGGACAATTACAAGTCTGGTGTTGAAGCTCACTTCCTGGCCTGTCAGTATTATAAATATTTTGCATAGCTGCACATACTTTCCTGAAAGAGACAGACTTTATTATTGTTTTTCTACCCATGACCCCTACTAGGTCTCTCAAAAAGGCTGTGAGCCTGGGATTTGGGAACGGATGCCTCGGAAGCTTTGCCCCTTTCTGCTGCCTGGGATCAATCATGCATGGGCAAGAGAGATTCCTTCAGAAGCCCCTGCTTAGACTAACCGTAGGGAGCACTTCAGAAAACCCAATGGACGTAGCTGCAGGGGGAAGAAGCTGAGCCTAAAGCCTTTCTGCTGCTGGCAGTGGCAAGCCCTGCGCTCTGTTCCAGCAGATAAGTAGTGACCCAAGCTGACCACAGCCGGGTTGCAGGGATAGCACTAGAGTGGACTGCTGTCCCGCCTGGTGAGCTGCCTTCCCGGGACAACACGGGGGGGTCCCACTTCCACAGGGATGGGCGCGAAACAGTGACCAGTGTCACTGGACCTTGTCTGTACGAAGGCAGTTTCCCATACCTCCCCATCAGCCAAAGAGCAGTAACGTCCTCCAGTGAGCCGACCCCAGCGTTCTCTGCACCAGCACCAAGCCCGGCAGGCGTTGATAAATTGTTTGGTAACCTCAGCTGTAGACACACCATTAAAAAGTACAGAGAAAAAATATTCTCTTTTTTCTTAGGGAATTAAACCCGATGTCTAAATAAATCACCATTACTAGAAGAAATAATAAAAGAGAGGGTCAGGGTGTTACATGAATGCCGCTGGTCTCCTTACAGGAACAAGTTAGCTATGTTTCCTTATTTTTCCTGCAAAGATGTTAAGAGCTGTGGGGATGTCAGTATTTTTTAGGTGTAGCAAGAATCATACAGCTGTCAATGGGCCGCCCAACACTGAGAATTGGACAAATTTTTAATGATGCTCCTTCAGAGACAGAGCCCAGCGGCCTCATTTTGACTGAAGCGTCTGAGCGGGCAGAAGAGACGGGTAATTCCAGCGAGCAGAATCGGAGGCTGCCTGCTGGGAATTACACCACGTCACCAGCACCCCAGAACCGCCAAACTCTTACAGCTGCCACTTGCAGGTTTCTCCTGTCTCGAGGGTTGCTGATCTCCCCATCTTTTGATCCATGTTCCCAAGTATAGCTTAGGATGATACCAAAGAGTGCAGTTATGCTATTCACACTGCCTGGAAAATAAAGTTTCGCACCACAGCTGCTACAATATTTGGAAACTCATTTTCTGGAGCGTTGGATCAGTGGCAAGGCCCACGCTTATGGATTAAATTTATAGTTGCTGCGATCCACAAGATGCAGTTTTAGGTGAGAAAACGCTAAAGCTTGGTTCCACACACACAAGGATTTTCCGTGGCGGCGCAAGGCCCACGCAGGAAGGGAAGCCGGTTTAATAACAACGGAGCCAAGATCAGCTGCCCCTTAAAATTCAGCGGGACACAAAATCCAGGCAGGAGGAGAGGATCTACCATCCCCTCACCGACCCAAACCCCTCAGCCGACATCATCCCCACGGCCCCTCAGCGACCGCCGCTCCCCCCCCTCCCCCCCCGCCTCCCCCTGAGGCGGCTGCGCGTTCCCGCTCTTTCCTCACCGCCCGCCCCTCAAAGGGCGCATGCGCGGTGCTGGCGGAGGCCCCTCCCTCCCCTGAGTGCGGTTGCGCGGGAACTTGCGTCAGGCGCAGCCGCCGCCGCGTCCCGCTTCGTCGCTTCCTCCTTCTCTTCCGAAGGCGTAAGGCCGGCGGCGAACGGGCGGCGTTCCTCCTTAGAGGGGGGCCGGCCGTTACCGCCGCCGCCGCCATGATGAGGCGCACGAAGCCCGAAGTGGAGCGGTACGTCGCCTCCGTGCAGGCCGCCGCGCCTTCCTCCAGAGAGGTGAGGACCTCCCCTTCCCTCCTTGCGCCGGTCCCGGGGGTCGTCGCGGCGGCCGACCGACCCCCCCCTCCTTCTCCTGGCTCGGTGGGATCCCTTTCCCTGCCTCGCGTGGCGCCG